CATCAAGCAGAGTGGGCCAGACTACCTGTTAGTAGGAGCAGAAGTCTCATTGTGAGCTACAGAAATCGCTTGTTTGCAGCGATTGCTTCTAAAGCTTTGGTTCTCAACTGGTGGGTCGCGACCCCGTGTTCAGTGGGTCGCCGCATGCCTTCCACTTTTTTAGGCGAGAGGCTCCTCTGCCTCCCTCTAGTGCAGCACTGTCAGTTCTCGTGCCAAGCAGCCGGTCAAAACATGCTGCCCGGCGCAGAGCTTCAGCTTGAGGTGGGATTGGACAGGGCTATGGCCACGAGGAGCTCCATTGATACGTGCATTGCTTACAGCTCCCTCACGTGTTCTATAGAGGTGCCTGGACCAGAGTGACTATTCATTTGTGTGGTACCCCAAACGCATCTCCCAACCACAGTTCATATGCCTGCACCAAAACATGCAGTACCCTAATGTGCGTTCCACTGCAGTGCAACTTGGGTCGCAACTTAATGACCAAGGACAAATGTGGGTCCTGAGGTTACACAGGTTGAAAACCATTGTTCTAAAGGATATGTGACAAAATGTTAGGTTAAGGATCCCATCATTTTAGTCTATACCATTTTCATTTGTTTTATCATTTACAATATTCTGCTAAATCAAAAACAAAAGGATGATTTTGATTAAATATGGAACAATCATGGATACCAATCCTTTTCGTCAGCTTTAAGTTATTTCAGAGAACATTTAGATTATGGGTTCTTCATTTTCCATGGAAGGGTTCTGGACTGTACCACTCTTCAGATCAATGCCAGCACTGGGAGTCCAAGGATCAGGTGATGTATATTATTAAATAGTGTTCATAGAACTAAATCAGTCATATTATCATGATTAAGCACTGGTCCTGAGATGCTGACAAGACCTTACAGCACATACATTATCAATAAAACACTGCATGATCTCAATCTCTCCCTCTCTCAATGATTTCACTGGCTCCAATAAAGAGCCCATTGACTAAATTTATTCATGAGAGGATGCCCCCATAAATGTGTCACTCTTGCAGCAGCATGAAGTAGTGATATGTGATGTCTGCATTGCTTCTCACTGTTAGGCCTCATTCACACTGTCACGCGTACGTGCGTATCGTACCATATGCAACATATGCAAATAAATGGCTCTATACACACAGCCGCGTATGGAGCCGTATATTTGCGTAGCGTATATGGTATATGCGCAAAAACAGAATGGAACAGAGATGCGTCCGGGCAGCATATTTCTGCGTATTTACGCGCGTACATGCATACAGCACATTAAAAATTCCATTACGAGTGATGCATTCTGGGATTGCATATAGTGCACGCATATACGCTCCTATATACGCAATATACAATTTTGCTTGCGTTGTGTGTGAATGAGGCCATAGAGTAATCATAGAAATACTGTCCCGCTGGAGACTTCCATCAGATCTACCCCAGAGAACACACAACCAACCAACTGACCATCACTCTGCTGGTACACAGATCACCTGTATATAGGCTGCTGTCAGTGTGTCCCCAACACTGGCCGATACCTCTCTCACTACATAATCATCATCATGACCGCTATCCACACAGATGACAGATCTGATACCACCACCAAAAACATACAGGTCACATATGGCAAGAAAACAGATGTCTGCTCTCTGCTTAGACAACCAGCACTTCTCTCGTATCACACAGTATGGGGGACTACAGAGAGCAGCTACATGTAGAGGGTGTTCTTCCGCATTCCTTAACCAGATTAGTACACCGGTTTTACCTCTCTGCTGACCCTCCTTGCACCGGCTCCATGGTACTGCTACAACCCCAGGTCACACCGCTCCCCCAGGTCCCCAATCTGACGGCTCCGGGCTGCGCATGCGTATGACCAGTGGGCGTTGCTCTACGCTGACAGGGATGTGAGATCAGAAAACAGCTTTCTACGGGCCGGAGACACTGACATGTAGGCGGGGCTTCTGTATCCAGGTGACCAGCTGGTTTACGTCTAGCGAATGAGAGCTGGCGCTGCCCTGAGAGTGCCGACGTCACGGTTAAACATCTGTCAGATGAGGCTCGTAGTGTGTTTACACTGTGCGGGATTCTTGTGACTGAGATAGGAGAAGTGAAAACAGTGACACGTCACCACTTCAATGCAGCATCTAGGCCAAGCCTACACTTGTATCATGAAATGATGCTATCCCCATCTTTTATAGTGTAAGCGCTCAAAAGCAGGGCCCTCCTAACTCTCCAGTATTGGAGCTGTACTCTCTGAGAGAATATGTGGTGTTGTGGCCTACCCAGGGTATGGCACATGCTATGGGCACCACTTGAGGACCCATAGAGACAGAAGACTGCTGCCGTCATTATTCAACCCCTGCTGCTGGTTATCATACATCAGTACCCTCCCTTACATTGGACTCTGTAAGGGGGGACTCTGATGTCAGGAGGGACTTACATCAGAGTTCCCATTTGCTTGAGAGTCCAGAGTTTGCCTTACGAGTCCCATCTGGTAGCACTGCTGGCAGAGGCAGCTTACATGGGGAGACAGGCAACTGCAGTTACTTGCCCCGTGAAGTGTATCCTCTTATCCTCTTGTGTATAACATGTCTCATGAGGATCCTGAGAATGTTTCCTATTCTGAAATTGGTGGGCTCTCTGAGCAGATCTGAGAACTCAGAGGGGTGTGTGCTGTATTTGTGTGTGGCACTGCAGATGAACAATTACACATTTAAGAAAAAAAAAACACAACTTGCTTTACCTGCAAAACTACTTTAAATCTTATTCAGCCAGTCTCATGATTCATATACCTACACCACACTGTGCTGATAGCAGGATGAATCCACTATTGTGTACATGTCACCTGACTGTTCATTAGACTGTGAATGAACTTCATGACAGGTATCGTATCATCGCATCGTTAGGCATTGCCGCGCACGCCAGCGCGGAGACATACTTCTAGGGACATCATTTACTGTTAACTCTATTGGTGACCTATAGAGGCTTTTCAAGTGTCCCAATGGGCAATTTTAGGTACTGTAGTTATCGCTGTTTAACAGGTGAGCACAATTTGTAAGCTTGACATATTTGGTATCTATTCACTTGATGCAGCCTTATATTTGACCAACAGTGGATATTATATATACTTTGTGTGACCTAAAATGAATTAGACTGTATTCATTACTGAAAATGTGAGTGCGATAAACTACCTAATATCATGTGGCATAAAAAACTACTTCCAGTATTTTGTTCTACCGGGTCAGGGTGTTTGTAGAAACTATATAATTTGTTTTTTTTTGTGTGGGTTTTATGAAATCTTCTGCATTTTAACCACGCAGAACACAAACACGCCTGGGGTCGCTTTTAACAGCAGATGATTGATGTTAATGTACAAGCGATCTGGCATCTGTACAGCCGTCGGATTGTTTGTACCGTGCGGAGCCCTCCCCCCCCCCCCCCCCCCGCACCC